AGTAAAGCGGCTTTAGTGGCGATGGCAGGTATATGAAATCATCACTTAACGATTTGAAGGTAGAAATATTGTTATGGCTGGTTTGAAAAATGACATTTTTATTTGCAAATCCAAGATGACAAACCAGGAACGCAGGTTTTAGTTGAGGCGAAGACTAAACCAAAGATCATCTCTCCGTCTGTTGGTTTATTTTTTTGAAGCTTCAAAACATACTAGCGGTTTGCAGAATCCTGACACACAGCAACTGTAACTGAACTTTCTTGGTTTACAACGTGCCCTGAAGGTATACAACAAGATTGATGAGAAGGTAATGATCTTTGTTTCTTAAAAATATTGATTGAGAACTTGTAAGCTTGTTCTTGTTGTTTAAGTATGTGTCAGTCGATTTATTTTCTTGAAAAACACAGTAAGGACGCTGATAACATGTTTGTTTAATCCAAATTTGAATATTTTTCTGCGTAATAGTTCTCATGAGACAGTAATTTCGCGATTATATCTGCAATTTTTTTGAAGGTAGCTCGTTTTCGTAAGTGTAGCTACATCTAAAAAATAAACGTATATTCCTTTTTGGCCTTGAAAACATGCACGATTTTCCCAAAAAAAAAAAAACACTGCAAAGTCATGATAAACTTGTGTAATGTAAGGTAATTTCGTTGCAGATTTTGTTCTCATTTCCATTGTTAAAGTAATGCCAACGGTTGCGGTTCTTGAACGCTTGAGAAATGATTGACCGGCGACGAAAAACAAGATATGTTAATCTCTACATAAAATAAAGTTGCGATTTTCAGTCAAATTAGTGAATTTATGCACTAGCTGAACAAACGTTCATTCAACCACGGGGGTGTTCAGTCGCGCCAAATCAAGCCAATAAAAACTACCCACAAACTAAACCGATTCTACACCTGCCTTTTACACAAGAAATTACCAGAATTATATCAATCTCACAAAGTACAAAGCGCAAAACAATAACAGGTGTCTGGAATTACATCGCTGAATATTTTTATTTTGATTCAAAACGTTTTTTCTTTTATTTCTCTTTACATTTTAGTTATTTATTCATTTCAAGTCATAATTTTTAAAAATCACTGAATGTAGTTTGTAAGCTAAGCATATTTTCTACCTCAGGCAATAAAGTAAAATTATTCATTTTTTCATTCTGCATGGTTTTTATAAATGCTCTCAAGAGAGACGTTAAACACAGAATAAGAGCGTTTTCACGTGACGGCATGGTCGCCATATTGGTGTTACAAACATTGAGACGGTGGCCATGTTGGTGTCCCAAACAAATTCTGGCAGAGTTGAACTCTTGTTTGTTTAAATTTGCAAAGATGCCGGCCACGTAAGTGAATTCTTTTTTTTTCGAGTTTAGAGGATTCATTTAATGGTATGTACCATGGGTACTTCTTGGATCATTATGCCAGAACGATCGAGCGCAGACCAGTTGAACTAAAGGAAGAAAGAAGGAGCAACACTGTCAGTTTTATCAAAAGAAAATTTCCAACCAGACTGAACAGTTAAATTTGCATTTTGACCCGAAATTTTGGTCATTTTTCAATGAAATGGGCGGACTGCAATCGAGGTCTCTAAACTTACTGAATTGGTAGGTTTCGTTGGAAGGGACTGACGAACCGGTTAAAAAGGACCACCTCGGAAGGTGGACCACTCAGGGGCAGCCAATGATTGTTTTCTTTAAAATATCTGTTCGGGGAAGCAAACTAATTGCCTAGAATTTTCTATAGCTTGAGGAAGGCTAA